TTGGCGGAGTTTTCCTACAATAACAGCCATCATTCGAGCATCGGTATGCCGCCCTTTGAGCTGTTGTATGGTAGGAGGTGTCGGACTCCCATTTGTTGGGGAGAGGTTGGGCAAAGGGTAATGGGCAGTACAGAGATCGTGAATCAGACGACAGAGCAGATACAGCTGGTCAGACAGAGGTTATTGACCGCTCAGAGCCGACAAAAGAGTTATGCGGATAGACGCCGGTCCGAGCTGGAATTTCAGGTCGGCGACTTCGTTCTCCTGAAGGTTTCTCCTTGGAAAGGAGTGATCCGGTTCAGGAAGAGGGGCAAATTGGGGCCCCGGTTTATAGGTCCGTTTCGTGTGATTGCAAGGGTAGGCCGGGTAGCCTATCGGCTGGAGTTACCAGCAGAGTTGGGGCAGATTCACAACACTTTTCATGTATCGCAGTTGAGGAAATGTATAGCCGATGAGTCGGCAGTGGTTCCATTAGAGGATATTCAGGTAGATGCAAGCCTGAATTATGCTGAGAGACCAGTGGCTATTAGGGATCGGAAGATCAAGATTTTGAGGAACAAGGAAGTACCTCTGGTATTGGTTCAGTGGCAACATCGGAAGGGATCAGAATTGACCTGGGAGCCGGAGGGTATGATGCGGGAGCAGCATCCGGAGCTGTTTTAGAGCGAGACTTCGAGGGAGAAGTCTAGTTCTAGTGGGGGAGAGTTCTAACATCCGGATTTTACCAGGTATCTTGTAAATTTGATCTTGTTGTATTGTGAGGGGGACTCGGCGAGTTGGAGCTCGGACTCGCCGAGTAGGGACGCGGATTTGGACAATGGAGCGCGCCTGGACTCGGCGAGTCCAGGATATGGACTCGGCGAGTCTGCGCTGTGTAATGAAACCCTAAATTTCCGGGTTTGAGGCCTATTTAAAGGGCCTTATGGCCGTCATTTGTGCTCACCCAACCCTTTGAGAGAGACCCTTGTGTTCTTGAGCGATTTGTGAAGAGAAAGGAGCATTTCTTGACCTTGTTTGTGCCATTTACCAAGAAGAAGGAGACTCTAGGCAAGAGGAAGCAAAGGAGGTTGCCATTTCGTGGATTTGGAGCTTAGATCATTCATCTAGAGGTATGATCTCGGACTATTTTCTGTTTGGTGAAGCATTATGCGATTTAGGGCTTATGATGGTCACTTATGGGATGATTTGATGCCCAATGGTTCCCTCCTTGAGTTGAGGTTATGGATCTGGATCCATAGAGGTCCAGAGAGCCTCACTCATCAAGCTTTATGTGTGACAATGGAGTCTATGACCTTGTGTTGTGGTATTTGAGTCAAAAACATCATATATGGTCATATAGAGGTTGTATGTGCATCAAGATTGTAACTTTACGTGCTAAATGAGCTTGGAGGGACTGGATCTATGGATTAGTGGACTGGATCTGACCTTTAGAGCAAGATTGAGTCAGTGCATGGCACGGACTCGCCGAGTCCGAAGAACAGACTCGGCGAGTAGCATGAATGTTGCCCGACCACACAGTGAGTGGCCTCGCCGAGTTGGAGAGGGTGGACTCAGTGAGTCAAGGGGGAGTCAGAATGGACAGGTGGACTGAGTCAAACTGGACTCGCCGAGTTGTTCTTGAGACTCGGCGAGTTGAGTCGTGGTGGCCCCACAACTCGTGCCAGGTGGAACTCGTCGAGTTGAGTGAATGCTCGACGTGTCAGGGGAGGATTCCAGGAAATTGGTGTATACGCTCAGACTCGTCGAGTCGCTATAGTGCACTCGCCGAGTCCGGTCAAAGTTGACCGTTGACCGTTGACCAGCGTTGACCTAGATTGACTTGTTATAGTGTGGTCAACCATAGTTGGGAAAGTGTTAATTAGAGATGTATTGTGCTATAGGGGGACTACAGCTCGGCAGATCGAGTGATTAGCGATTTCAGGTTTACGATTTACCGAGACACACGAGGTGAGTCTTCTCACTATACCTTACCTTGAGTAGGTAACTAGAGTCATGTGATAGAGTATTTGTATGCTATGTATGTTATGTGTTGTACTGCATGATTTCTATGTGATTTATGTGGTGCATGTTCATCAGAGCTAGAACCTGAGGGTTCACAGAGTTTGGGTGCACGGACCCACAGAGTTATAGCCTAGAGTGGCTAATATGTGTTATATGTGGTATTTTGGGGAATTCACTAAGCCTTGTGCTTACAGTGTTGATGTTATTTGTTTCAGGTACTAGTGACGACCGTGGGAAGGCGTCGGCTTGATCCGTATACACACGCGTTCGGAGCTTGATATTATGATCTTGGGATTTTGTATTGTTTTGTTGGATAATTAAAATGGTTGTTTTTATGAATATCGATGGAATTATGTTTTATAAAAATTGAAAAAAATTTGTTGAAATTTTCGGTGTTACAAATTGGTATCAGAGCTAGGGCACGGGTCGATGTGTTCGACGGGGACGTCGAACCCTATAATGAGGGGTGAAAGTGGGTTAGATCTGATCCCACATCGAC